GGAAAGAGGAAAGAAGAGATACCTTCCAGGGCGACCGTGCGAAGGTTAGAGACGACGGTGACCTTAGGCCGAAGAGAGTGGAGAGTAGAGGAAGAAGGAAGTAGTGTTCTTTGCTTGAAGGTTGCAGCGAGACGGCGGTGATAACGATGGTTGCAGGAATCTATGTAGGCAATGGAGACGTCATACATTTCACTCAAGGAGATGGTTAGTTTATCGTTAGTCCAATTTCGAATCATGGAGGAGACAAGAATCTGTGTCTTCGTTGTGGAGATCATTCCAAGCTCAGTGGTGTGATCTCTTCTTTAGGTTCTGCTGCAAAATATGCGCTTTCTTCAACTGTTAGATTCGCAGTTTCCGGTTTTGGTGGTGTGGCTTTGGGAGGATATGGTTAGTACTGTATTGGTTGGTCGTTTGAATTCAGACATTGGTGTGAGAAATGAGATGTGGAAAGGCTCGTTGAAGTTATAGCAATTATTGAAGGCGGATCGGACAACAACAACAACAAGTGTAGTTAGTTCGTTAACCACTAGTGGCGGATTCGGGTTTCGGATTATGATTGACTAATTGATTGTTTAGTTAGAGAGATTCTGCTTCTACTTTTTGTGTGTATTGTGGAACCTGTATTTAAACTATTTGTGAAGTGAAAATACAGTTAAATTACTAAGGTCTTCTAAAAACTTGGAAGAAAGATGATATTTGATGGCATCTCCTTGATTGATCTAGAGTTGGTTTCCTAGTAGTCCAAAATGAGCCATCAATAGCTTAGCTGAGCTGCGTGTTTTATAGTGCCGCAGTCAGTTTCTGCATAACGTAAGCAACTCAACCCACAATTTGCTCACATCATAGTGGGTTGCATCACCAGTCGAGGTACATCATGGATTGTACTGAACTCGTGTTCGCTGTGATTCCCTTCAGTACCTTTTTCTGTTTGTTATAACAGCTCAGTGGCAATGTGCCTCACTAGAAGGCTATGATCATAATCCATTTAACATCTCTAAGAAACGATTTTTTACGATTCTCTTGCTTAGAAGGAAAAATGGTTATGAAGTTCGTGTGAGGGAAATAACTTGTCCAAGATGGGAAGACTCTGAATTGAAGTCTAGTCTTATTTTTGTGCAATTTCTCATTAACTTTTGCTTAATCCAGCCAATAAAGAAGAAGCATTAAAACAACATAGTTAGACTTGAACTTCATGGTTAAAAGTTAGTCAGCCAAAATAAGTTAGTCTATATATGTTAGTCTATGGTTAAAAGAAAATAAATTTGTGGTCAAAAGAATATAAATCTATTATGTAAATTTGTGGTAAAATGATATAAATCTATCAAATACTAATAAATCTGTCAAAATAAGATAAATTTGTTGCAAAAAAGAAATAAATTTGTCTCTAAATATTAACAAATCTGTGATGGAAATAATTAAGAAATTTTGTCTCTAAATATTAACAAATCTGTGATGGAAATAATTAAGTCTTTCAAAATTAAGTAAATATGTGGCCAAAGTGGAAAAAATCTATCGAATACTTATAAATCTGTCAAAATAAAATAAATTTGTGGGAAAAATAAAATAAACCTGTGACAAACTAATTAAGTCTATCAAATTTAAGAAAATTTGTGGGCAAAGGAAAATAAATCTATGGAAAGCTAATTAAGTCTGTCAAACTTAATTAAGTCTATTGCAAAAAAAAAAATTGTTAAGTAAATCTGTGATATATTCATAAATCTGTCAATATTAAGTAAATCTGTGGCCAAAAGAAAATAAGTCTGTCGAAAAATAAATCTGTCATCACATTAAATTAAGTCTGTAATATGGCAAAACCGTAAATTTTTTTTTTATTATTTTTTTGAAATTTTTGATAATGGCATTCCTGTAAATAAAATTTTTTACTAACAAAGGATTTAAGAGCAAAATAGGCACGAAAAAATTAGTAATAATTAAAATAAAATAAGAGCTAATTGTTATGAATGAGATATTGAGAGACAAGAGAGAAGAGAGAATAGAGGAATTGGTGTGTCTTATTCCATAGAGAACAAATGTATCTATAGGATACAATAACTTGGGGAGGAGTAATAACTTGGAGAGAAAGTTGAACTTGGAGAACAAGA